AGTATACAATTTCAGGAAAACGTAATTTTGATCTGATTGTGTACAAGAATGAGTACTTTAGTGTGGGTTTTACATAAAGTACGTTAGGATTTATAAAAGCACTGAAAATCAATGAGGAAAAACCATACTACTTAAGTGGTTATTTTTACACGGCGTATTTGTTGCAGGCGGTCACAAAGAAGATCGCTCAAAATCCAGCGTCCTGACGTGACTGAAATATCGTAGGATTATGCTACAGGGTAATAAATCATAACAGCCCTACTCAAGTCATCTTTTCGAAACGATACCACATTACAGAACTTTGGTTAAAATTGCATGAGCTAGAAAATCCACTGTAGCTATTTCCACAAAAACATTCGGCACCCGCCAGATGGCGGCTACCATTTCAGTCAAATAATGAGATAAATCTTATCATCAGCTCACGCTGAGACACTAGTGCACAGAAGGGGAAATATCCAATACTAAACAGTCCTCTTCGAGGCAATTGAGTTCATTACTCACTGTAGTAGATCGGACGCGCTTGAAACTATAAAAGCGAAGTAGAGGTCGTGGCCTTGAAGGTTGTAAGTTGATGGGAGAACTAGGTTCGCCTTTGAGATACAGATCCGACCGCAACGAGTCTTAGTGTGGTCTTTATGGCGCTCTTGCTTGAGATCCGAGACCAGCGACCGTGACCGGACAGTTGGGGACCAGGTTGTGCGCACCATGTGGCTTATCTACCTTTGTCAGTCACATTGCCGAAAACTATCTTGATCGGACATTATGGCCGTGGGACAGATGCAGCGCAGTTTTATTCTAATAGGAACCAATTCATACGCAAGTCGTCTCTGAGCCCCATCTGGGTGGGAACTAAAGTCTGTCAAATAACTATCACTATATTCACACCATACGGAACCCAATAAGCACACTTGAGGTAATTTAAAAGTCTTCCACAGAGTGACAAGATGAAACCTGCCTCAGTTTACTCGCCAGTTAGCTGGTGAATCCGAGAATTGAAAGCAATCGGAAGGTCCGCTCTGAAAGCTACCAGTAAAATAAACAGATCGTGAGTGGGACGAATAAACCTTACTACTATGAAGAGAGGCAGCAGCTATCACACAAGACCTGCAGAGTGCGGTATCGGAAGTTTTACATCTACGAGGAAAATACTTAGTTATCAAATAGTGGGGAGTCGGTGGATTAGCACTGCGTGGTGCCGACACAAGTGGTGAAGGTGACAATGAGGATGTACCCGACAGGGGTCGGGCGCGACTCAGACGGCGTGGCCTCGAGAATGCACGAACTGCAAAGGATAATGTAAGCCGTTTCAAGTACCGTGCTACTGTTGCGAAATATCTCCTGCTACGTTAATTCAACTAACCGCGCTAGTACTAACATTAGTCGCCTTTGAATCATATTTTAATGCGCCTCCCAGGTTTCGGGGTGTAAGTCCGGTATCAAATCTTCCCGAGACATGAGGAGCTCTGAACCAGTTGCTGAAGACAAATACTGAAAAGAAACTGCTCAACGTGTTGAATGGGATGCGATTATGGTAATTCCAGGAGACGGTATGAAGCTCCCTTATCTTTTTACAAACATCCTAGTAAGCTTTTTTTATCTTATAACAATGTTTTTGCCGCCGGAAACAAACTAAGACCTCCTGAACATTGTTAAATCACAGTCTGAATGAAAACTTGTGGCAGGAACATCCATGGCCATAGAAAAATGGAGGATGAATCCATCAAAACGTTTAAGTGGGGGGAAATTAACGAATTCAGCAGCTCTTTAACTATAAAACTTGCATCGCTTCTGAGTAAACTCTACAAGAAACTGCAATTACCATTTCCGGAACATAGCCGATGAGCTACGTGTCTCAAAATGTAAGACGAAACGAGGGAACGTCTGCAGTTACATGATAGCAAATGAACTAGGATGTTAAAAACTGACAGAGAACACCCAACACGGTCTTTCTGCGACAAGAGAACGTCATAATACACGAAAAATGACAGCCCGACCTATGAAACGGTCGAAGCCGGCTAATTTAACCGTCCTCATATTGCTAACCTGCTTGAATCTCGCATAAAAGAAGAGAAGCTGGTCATTTGTGAGCGAGTTCGCCACTTCCTGTAGGTAGGACGCCGCCCTTGAAAACGTCACCTCAACGGCACTGTCTGGTAACTCCTAACGAACAGGAGAAAGTGTACGTTTCGGAAAAATTATTAGCGGAGTAAAAAGGAGACAATGTAATCAGAAGTCATTTAATAAATAACTGTGATAAATAGGACGAGTCTTTGTAGTTTGATGCGATTGATAATACCGATGCATAGTTTACAGGGAGCATGCTAAACGTGACAATACGCGCACAAATGCGAGACTGGGTCGAATTTGTCAAGTTAAGTAAATGGGGAATTCAAAAGCAGATATGACGGGGAATGAGTCCAAGGAATGGAGGGTCAGTGTTAGGGTTTATATTACAAAAAGATCACAAGTGGCATCTCCTCGTACCACGTAATTAATATATGTTCGGTAGGTGTTAAGTATCGGGAACATAGGTTGAGTTGTTCCGCCAAAATGCAAAGGAAGAATACACGGACATGTCAATGGGCGCATTAGCACTTTTTGGAGATTCGTCCTCTGAATCTGTCTGTTGAAACGCATCCACTTCTTCGTAAGAAGAGCAGTGCTGTGGTGACAGGCAGGGGAAAATATGGTCAGTCAAGGATATAAGCTCATCAAATGTGCTGCTGTGGCCGGTCAGGCACTCGTTGCGTAGCATTCCATTGGGGTTGACGGTAAAGATACGACAAGGCTCAAAGCCGGCCTCAGTATATGCAAGCACATCATTCTGTCTGTTGCCGAACGCCGCGAAGAAAGGTGATGCATCGGGCCCAAAAATTTCTTTTAACTCCGCGAGGCACTGGATTTTGAAAATTTCTGGTTTACCTTCGATAACTTCACGGTGAAGGGCATCCATTAAGGAGGAAGGAGATAACAGAACAGGCCCATCTGGCAGTCGGTACTTTCCGCGCTGAAATACATGCTCAAGGTAGCTTCTGGTGACTCCTGCTTGCCCGATTGCACGAGCAGACAAATAGACGAACTTGTACCCGTTGGAGGCTATTTTGCTATAGAGTTCAGCTACTCCATCATGCGTCCAATCGTGACCCAGCATAGGTAAGACATGGCCAAGAAGATCCGAGCGCGTTATAGTGCCGTCGACGTCAGATATGATTAGTTGATCGTCTGAGCGCCATAAATAGATGTTGGCTGAGCAACTGTAGGTGCCCTGGAACTTAGTTACAATGCGAAATTCAGCACTATTTAAACCCGGTTTTAAGCCTAGGTTCAGAACTTCTTCTGAAGTTAGTCTAAGTTTCCTACTGGGTCGATCTTTATTATCCTCGACTTTATGATCTTCTTTCGGGGCTTCCGGTTCTGGTGGGTCTTCTTTCGGGGCTTCCGGTTTTGGTGGGTCTTTGCTAAGTTCATCCGTTATCTCGGTTATTTCAATGTTGGACACTGGATCTTCTGATTTTCCTGGTTCAGGTTTCGTAGTCTCGGGTTCGGTTGCGCCCCAGCTGAACCATGTTTTCTTTCGGGGTCGCTTTTTCGGCATAAAATCTTGTTCAAGGCGAAGAACGGAACTGTAGGGGAGTTCCGTCTGAAAACAAATGTAGCTTAGAAGTAAGGGGGCTCCCATGCCCCAGTTGTAGTACTTTCCATTCAGAAAAAGCACTAAGTTTGGGTTAGATATGATTCCAGCAGGATCTTTGGAAAAATCCTCAAAGGTCACCAGGCTAGCGTAAAAGCGTTCCTCGTTTATTTGGGAGTCCGCAGACAGACCGCCACACAATGAAAGCTTCAATTCCCGGACAAGGTTTAAACCGGAGACTGAGTGCACAGCACTTTGTTCAGTGTCCGATCTGTACCCTGCATCCACAGTATTTAATTCTTGACTGGAGTAGTGGTCACTTTGCTGCATTTTCGATGTCGTCATGTACAAATAAGCCTGTTTGACGCTTTCATCAACTTTAGTTGTCACAAGATCTTCCAAATACACACCTGGGGACCCAGTAGCATGAACTTCTTTTGGTGAGGATTGAGCAGACGCATTGAGGGGGTCCTTAGAAAACGTAACCTGAGGTGGAGAGTCGAAAGACTTAGTAGGCATTGACGTTTGGTCGTTTGTTCGAGGCTCCGTTGGAGAGGATTC